ACAAGCACTTGTTTTTAGAACTAATGCTCTGACCAAAGTTTCTATTTTGCCAAAAACCTCCAAATTGTTTTGTCACAAAATCCCATGAAATGTCCTGTACATCCATTCCTTACAGATAAATGCAGAATAGTGCCAAATGGAACTCAGGGTGGCCTTCAAAATTATAACATGGTGTTAAACTTGCTACAACTTGGCAGGCAGGTCTTTCCTTTTGAGATACTGTAGATAATGCTACTTCCCTTTAATTTAGTATTTTCCCAGGAGCTAAAGAAGGTTTATTCTAGATTCTGTCCACCTATACGTGAAGAGTTTTATTCAGCAGTTTATAGATTAGCAGCTGTGGATTCCAGTATGTTTTGAATAAATTATGTGAGAAACCGTAAAAAAAAAAAAAAAAGCTACATAGTTCAAATCTACAAGCTGTTCCATAGGCAAAAGAAGGTTAATCTCCTCTGCTGTGATTTGATGTCTCTGAAAACCTCCTCGAGGGTCAGCTATGGGTCAGTTCTGATTCAACAGCATACAACAAAAACAACAAGACAATCTTGGTAAGACTTGTCACCTAAGTGTGAGTGACACATGTTACCCCACCTTAGAGGGCCATATTTTTAAGCCAATCTCTGGGAATCAAAGACTAAACACACTCAAAACCTCTACCTAAACCAACACAGATCTCAGCTCTTACTATTGTTAGATGCCATCATGCTGATCCCCAACTTATTGTCATCACATCACAGGAATAGAACTAAATGCTTCATGGGCTGCACTTTTCCCAGGACCAGGGTGGATCAGAGCATTGTGATCACAAGGTTACTGGCTGATTTCCAGAAGTAGATTACCAGACCTTTCTTCTTAGACCATCTCACTCTCAAAGTTCTGCTGACATTTGTTCAGTGTCATAGCAGCACATGAGCCTCCATTGACAGTCATGTGGTGCCCATGCATGAGGCTCACTGCTGAGCTCTAATACACCTCTCCCACATGTTGTTGTTCACTGCCATCAAGTTGAACACGACTCATAGCGACCCTGTGAACAAAAGGCATGAAGCCTTTCTATAACAATCGTTGCTTCTCCAGGTCCATAGAGTTTTCAGAGGCATGTGGTTTAGAAAGTGTATGCCAGCCTTGCCTCCAAGCTAGTCTTAAACTGGGAACTCCACCAAACACTGTCTACCATGGGCAGTCATTATGGCATTTGACATCCCACCCCTCCAGTGGCACAAGGGTCAGCATAATAGCAAACCCAGATTACCTCAGTGCAGCAATAGAACTTAGAAGAATGTTCCTCCAAAATAAAATAACACTAGACCCTTGGGCCCAGCCAACTTTTAAATAAAAGGGCCATCTATAAATATATGTGAACAAAAGGCCTGGAGACTTTCTATAACTATTGCCATTTTTCCAAGTTCATGGAGGCATTCTGTTTAGGAAGTGGATGCCACTCCTGCTTCCAAACTATGAACCTATCAACACTATTACCTTAGCTTTAGCTTACCCTAGACTAACCAAAACCACTGTCCAGTCGATTCCAATCATAGTGAACTTCCATTGGTTTTTCCGAGGCTGTAAATCTTCTCTCTTTTTTTTCCTTCCCTTTTTTTTCTTCTTCTTCTGAGGCTGTAAATCTTAATGGGAGGAACCACTGGTACATTCCAACCGCTGGAGACTTGAAGCTTTTGATGTGCAATGCAATGTATTATGCACAATGCATGAACGCTCCTTGAGAGGCATATAAAACTTATTTTTTAAATACTTGTGGCAGGTACAAGGTATCCACCAGCTGTTTGGTGCCTGACCTGGCCTACATTTTTCACTATAACACCGCTAACTGCATGGCTGTAGAGTCAAGTTCACCAGAGGCACCTTAGGAAAAGAGACCTGGCGATCTCCTGAATAATCAGTCACTGAAACCCCTATGGAGCACAGTTCTGCTTTGATACACACAAAACTTCCATGCACACCAGAAGGAATTTCCATAAGGAGAGCTTGTGAGAAAGAGTAGATAAAACTCCTGGTTGTCCACATAATTCGTTAACCAGACCAGGGAAGGGGACAAGGGCCATGAAAAGACAAGTCTCAAACATGCACCACCACAAAACAGACAGGACTTCACATGTAAAAGCATATAAGATGAAGCACTGTGTCTAAGAGAAGGCCTGCACAAGCGAGTGTTGAAGAAGGATGCTGAAGAATGGGATGAGATGAATACATGCCCATCCTCATTAGCAAACAAGCAAGCAAGAGTCCAATAAGTAACCTCTGCCCAGCTCAGAGAATGTAACTCGTTTCTGCTTTTGCAAAGCCTGGGCTTGGGAAGCAAACTGCTGGCAGCTTTTATTTATCACTGATTTAACTTAAAAAGAGAATCTCACAGCTTGTACAGTTAATTGTGCTATTAAGAAAATATTTGTGGTCATGTTGGTTCAGTAGGGCAACCCTAATGCTGGCAGCACAATCACAATGTCATCATTGCGAACACTATCATTGTGATGAATGTCACAGACACAAATAAGAATAAGTCACATAGAATGTCACAGAGGGGCACGCTGTGATGGTAGTAAACAGATGTTCCCCCAAATCTTGTGCCAGCTGAACCTGTATCAGTGAAGACAGGCTAGAATATGCCATGTCAACAAACATCTAATAAATTCTAATAGTGTAGAAAAAGTTTAAGACTTGAAAACTCTAATGTGTTAAAAGAGACTTGAGTTGTAGAATGAGGCTGACATCAGGGTGGGGGTAAGGCTGAGAAAAACTGGATAAATGATGTATACTGCATTTAAGCCGATGAGGGAGAGAACAGTTTAAAAGCAATATATTCCAGGGCATTATGATTTTCATAAGAGTTTGGAATGAGGGTTGCAGAGTGAAGTATACTCTGGGTGGGTGTGGGGAGTGGGGGGGATTGTATACCAATGAAGGAGTTTTTCTTTTTCTTTTCAAGGAGAAGAGCGAACTTGGGGTGGGGGTGGAATAGGCGGGGAGAAAAGTACTGCAATGAATGAATGGAATTCCGAAATCTCTGTAAATGTTCATTGAAATTAATTTTTTTTAAAAAAAAAGACTTGAATTCAGCTCTCCAGACCTTATATAAAGACTAGATGGGTACACGATTGAATCCACACACTTTAAGACTATGCTCTTTGGTTTTCATTCTTATTTCTTATCTTACATTGTTGTTGTTGCTGTGTACCACAGGGTCAGAACCAACCCATAGCTGATCCTCCAGCGGGTTTTCAGAGGCAGTTAATCGCACAAGAGGTGAGTGCCCACCCTTCTTCCATGGAGCAGCTGGTGACTTTGAATCATGTCTTTAGGATTGCCGGTGCAGCTTCTTGCCAGGAAGCCACCAGAGCCATGAAAGAGGTCATCTGAGCAAAAGGATTCTTCCTTATATATAAGAAAGAGAGAGATTCTAGGAGAAGCAGCTTGCATAAGGAGTGCTCTTGCAGAACAGTATGTGAGGGTCATGAAATAGAAGCAAACCCAGGTGGTTTTGACAGTTGCATATCCTTTTCCCTCATTTGATTTAACATGCCATCTCCATCTGGCTCTATGCTCCACAAATCAAAAGGACACAGAAAATGAAATTGTAAACTGACCCTTTAATCCATTTATATAGTAGGGTGAGTATACATGACAGATAGGCCAACCTTTTACTGGGTTTCATTAGAAGGTACATTTTCCCCTCTCTAGGAAATAACAACAACAGGCTAACACACTACTGAGTTACAACTGAAAATTCAATTAGGAGAGATGTGAAGGAAAAGAGAGTTCATCAGGTGAGGAGAAGTTGGACAGACATGCCGACAAGATTCAAGAGTGCACTGTGAGCAGTGTGTTTCACCCTTTAATAAAAAACCCACCCAGGGACATCAAGCCAATCTGTCAATTCAGTCAGTGAATTGTCACCAAGTCATTCTGACATACAGCGATTGTCCATTCTGTAAATCATAAAGAGAGGAGATTGTCCATCTTTCTCCCAAGGAGTTGCTGGTGGATTTGAACCTTGTGAGACACAAGACTTTTGGTATATAAGGAGAAGAAAATGTTCTATAGGGACACAGGGACAGGGGGTAAGACTAACACAGGCCCTCACTGCCCCAGAGCAGCAAGCAGATAAAGCCCCGCCCCATGATGCCTGCAGAGCCCACCAACAGCAAGAGGGT